GCATAAGTGCTGTGACGCTAGAGAACCCTGACTAAAACATTTGTCTTTCTAAATTTTCCTTTCCATTTTTGCAGCCTGGCCCAAACACTGTACAAGGCCATGCCAAACCAGCATTTGACAAGAACTTTTTGATTGATTCTCTCACCCACTTCATCGAATCATGCTGGTGTGGACTTGGGAAACCATTGGACAAATGCAGCCCTGCTGAGTGCACCCAGCTGCCTACCCTTAGAGTCCAGCATCTACATGGCAGAAAATAGCCCAGCCTCTAAAGGGTAGCCAGCAAGCCTCTCCAGAAGGCAGGCCTTGTAGAAGGTGTGGTCAAGGCATGTCTCTCCATAGGCAAACAGTCCTGCATGGGCCTGAAGACCCAAGTTCATCCCTACTAGTCTCAGATAGAAGCCTGGGGTAGGGCTTAGGGGGAAAAGAGCTACAGAGGCTGGTTGTCAGAACAGAGGAGGACTAGGGAGGGGAGAGTCAGAACCCCCTCTCTTTCCCTGCTATCAGCACAGCAGTCCTCCCCCACTTCCTCTCTTCGAACTGATCACATCCTGTTATTGTGTGGAGAGAGAAGCCAGGGAGCTGGGGAGGGGCAGAGCTCAGACCAAGCCAGTGAGGAAAGAGTAAGGAGAGGCTGGAGGACACATCACTGTGATGTAGGTAACTAACTCCAGGAGTTTTCCTCACCCTAGGTAGCCTGGGCAAAAGTATGGTACCCAGGAGGAAGCCAGCATGCCTGAACCAGCACGGTCTGCCTCAGAAAGAAATAGATAATGCTAAGGACAGAAAGTGGAACCTCCTCCCAGATATCTCCTAACCTTCCCTCAGGACCCGTTAGTTCAGCACACATTTGCTCAGGGTCCCTATTGTCAGAGCTAGTCTGTACAAACCGCTAAGCCCCTCCCATAGCACTTGCCTTGAGGGTTCTCCCCTGCACCCACTTCCACTCAGCCCACCTCCTGCAGTGGGTGGTCCTTGCTGGCTACCCAGCCTTACCTGGCAAGGAATAGGCCCATAGAAAGTCCTGGTGTGGTGGGGTGATTAATACCTGTTCCCTCATCTCTTCTGTTAGGACAGCCCCACCCTGGTCCCATTTCCAGGAAAAACAATGCTTTCTACAAATCTCCCTATATAATCTTTTTTTTTAATAAAACAGACACTTTGCATATATTATTTTGAAGTCCTGTGACAGTCCTTGAAGATGAGTGCTAACATCCCATTTAACAGATAAAGAAACCAACCTCAGAATGATAAAGTGACTCACCCACAGTCACAAGCCAGCATACCCCGTAGCAGCATCAGGCCTCAAATAGCCCAAGTGATCCTGACCCCAGGCCAAGCTCTTCTAGTGGCCTGCCTGCTTCTGCTGCTCACTTCCTCTAGTCATGAACTGTGCCACATCAACTTGTCCTTACTCACTGTCCTCATAGTCGTCCACTGAGCCTATCCTCTAACCAGCAAGCTCCTCACTGCCTCCACACAGATTGTACATCTGATTCATAAATTCTGAACCTAAATCTGTAGCCATCTTGCCCGTAGGGAGAGCACAGCCAGCTCCTCTAAGAACTCCAGCTGCCCACTGGCCATCTCTTCATTTTCCTGACCTTCCTAACGAATCTGGAGCACGAGTTCTGGGGGTAGCCCTTAATTTACATCTAGTTCACCTTTCTCAGTGCCCTTCAAACGGCGGGCTTCATGTCCTTCCCTGTTCGATGCAGGTATACATGCATTCCTTTGCTCAGATTCATAGTGACTGAACTCTATGACTGAGCCCGCCTGGTGCCTGACTTACATGGGCAGTGGGGTGATGACACAGTAATGGCTTCTGGGGAACATATACTTGTTTTATAGAGAAAGAAGCAAGTAGGGGCTGACATGAGGAGGCTGGACAGCTGGGAATGGACTAGATACACAGCCCCCGCCCCTGATCTTTACTATGCAACACTGGCCTTTCAGGTCTTCGTTGAAAACTAGCCTGTTCCAGACAGTGCATGCCCTCATCCCTGCCCCTCCAGTTAGAAAGAACTAAACACCATTACCCTCTCAGAGCAGGGCTACTACCTACTCATTCTTCCCTGGCCATGCCAGGACTGAGCCAGCCATCTGCCCCTAACCAACCCAGGAAGCAGTGGACCAGACATTTATGCAGGAAAGACTCTCCTGCCCTCACTTTCTTGCCACTGTCAGAAACGAGGCCCGGAGAGGAAAGAAGAGCCTGCAGGGGGAGGAACTGTTGTTCCTTGTCAATAGAAAAGGAACCTGAATCTTTGTGACTTAAGGTGCTGGGACAGAAGGCTTAGTCCAACCTGATTCCAGCTCTGGCGACCTTGTGTTTCAGTCCAGAAGCAAATAAATAGGTGAATGTTAGGGTGGGAAGGGCCAGCACACAGGGAGTCCCATGGGGACGAAAAGGAGGCACCCAACCCCATGGAGTCAGGAAAGCTTCCCAGACTTCAGGGACAATTCAACCAAATAAAAGGAGAGTGGGAAAAGAGGATGGTAATATCCGTGAAAAATAAACTGAAAGTGAAAGAACTTGCATGTCATAAAACAATAAGAGAGGGCTGGAGAGACCGCTCAGCGGTTAAGAGCTCTGACTATTCTTCCTGAGGTCCTGAGTTCAATTCCCTGCAACCACATGGTGGCTAACAACCATCTGTAATGAGGTCTTGCGCCCTCTTCTGGCTTGCAGGCATACATGCAGGCAGAACATTGTATATATAATAAATAAATAAATCTTTTTAAAAAATAGTCTAGAACAGGAAGGAAGAATAGGAACAAAAGAGTGAGGGGTGGGAGGGTGGGTAGGGATGTGGTCCAGTTGGTAGAGTGTTTGCTTGGTTTGCACAACGCCCTGGGGTTAGTTCCCATCACTGAATAAACCTGGTATGGTAGTGCACACCTGTAATCCCAATGCTCCAGATAGGGGCAGGAAGTTCAGAAGTTCAAGGTCATCCTCAGCTACTTAGTGAGTTTGAGGACAACCTGGGCTACATGAGACCCTGTCTCAGAAAAACAAACAAAAAACACAACATCAACAGCCAAAAAGGAGTGGTAAGAAATAAAAGGGAACAGATAAAAAATATTTCAGGCAAAGCCTCAGAATACTTTTCTTCGTGGAGTCAGGGATTCTGGACTTCAGGAACAACACTGTCTCAGGGAAAGGAGGCCTGGGCCTGCCTAATTGTCACTATGGAATACAAGGCTTGGAAAGACATTTTTCTCTCTGGTTCTCTGTCCCCACAGATGACCACCATGGGCCCTCTCTGTTCCATTACATAGAAAGGCTTGTTTCTCCTGAGAACAATCCTTCTAGGATGGGGAGGGGTATCCTAGGACCCTCAGACTGCTGCCTCTACTCCTCTCTGCTGATGCTCTCTCCCAGCCATCAGCCATCCATGCTAAAACCAATTAGCTCAACCTTTCTTTGCATGACTCCCCAGCTGTACTGAATATGGCTGGCTACTCCTCTACCCCAAATACTATTCTTCCTTCCCTACCCTCTTTCTTTCTCTCCTTTCATGGCAGTCTCTTCATCCTGCCACTCCAGGATGTGAGCCTAAGATCTAATTTTTCTCCCCACCTCAAGGCCAAATCATACTCCTTGCCCTGGTCCAGGGAGAGGCATATCTGAGGAGTTCCCCACAGGCTGGGTCAGAACTTGACACTCGGGCTGAATTTTACCTCTTCCCTCTAGGAGATGGATAGAAGCCAATAAGGCAAGTGCTGCTGAGACTAGAGACAGGCAGGATGGGAATTAACTGTGATGATGTTGAATTCCCTGGTGGAGGCCATCTAAGCTAGTGTCCACATCTCTAGATTTGGGGGTGAGTACTGAAGTCCAGAGAGGAAGAAAGGAAAAGCCTTTTTAGAGCCTCTTAGCCCATGTGACAGGTAGACAGACCCAATCTTGTCCCTAGGACAATGCTGCCCTTGAAGCCAGGAATTCCCTGACCCTGAATGGAAAAGATGGCACCCTGGGGCCTTCTCTGAACTGCTCCTGTTAATCTGTCCCCTTTTGTTTCTTACCACTCCTTTTGGTCTTGGTTTTTGAGACTGTCTTGTGTAGACCAGGCTAGCCTGAGAGTCATTGTGGACTAATACTAATCGATTTCTGTTTAACTCTAGTTATGTGTGTGTTTATGCATTTACCTTCTCCCTTCTAGAATATAAGCTTCAGTGGAGAACATCCATGTTTGTTTTGTTCAGAGCTGAACCCTTGCCAACAGAACAGTGTCTGCCCAGAGCAGGTGCTTAGCAAATGCCTATTAAATGAGAAAACAAAAGCTACACTCAGTTGGAGGTGCCCACCTGCAAATGTGCAATGACCTCCCCAAGACCCACAGTCCCTGTCTCAAATTCCATTCATGAAACATCAGCACCTACATGGCAGCTCACAACTCTGTTAACTCCAACTCCATGGGATAAATGTCCTCTTCTGGCCACTGTGAGCACTGCACACATTTGGTGTGGACATGCATATAGGCAAAACACCATACGCATAAAATTTTAAAAATTTAACTCTCTCAAAAAAGAAAACAAGAAAGAAAGAAAAAAGGCCAGGTGTGAAAGCTGCAGCCTCCACTGAGTCATCAGGAAACCTGAAGACACCAATGGTAGGTAACATCTTCATTTGTCTGTCCTAAGCCCTCTCTGTGAGCAATGGCCCCTACCAGGGAAACTGGTGTAATTGGAAGGAGGAAGCTAACTCAACATGCTGTCCAGGACTGCAAACACTAAGATAGAATACTGAAGCCCTGTGAAGTCTTGCAGGAGGAAAAAAAAAAAAAAAAAAAGATAATCTGTCCCGAGAGGCTAGCTTTCTTCCTCCCTACAGGCTTGCTCTTCCCGCTTCCTAAAAGGAGTGGAGCCAAGTCTTGCCAGGCTTTTCCTTTTTTCTTTCTTTCTTTCTTTCTTCATTTCTTTCTTCCTTTCAGGCTTTTCCTTTTAAAGTCTCCATTCTCATGCTCTAAGGTGCAAAGTGCAAGCAAAGTCCAGGCCCCTTTGTAAAACTTTTATTTAGAAATACTCCCCCATATAACCTTATATATATGTATATATACACACACACACCATCATCACCACACTGGTATTTTTTGTTTTACCCCCCCTCCCCCAATAAAGAGTCACACGCCCACAGTGTTGGCCTCTAGGCTGTACAAACATCAAGGTACCCGGAGCAGTTACTCCTCTTCTGCAGAAAAATGCAGAGACCAACATAGTTCATCACATACAGTACGACACTGACGGAAAGTGCTGGGCCTGCCCACAGACATGGCGTGCTATGTACACAAGCTGGGGCAAGCCTTCTGCGGAGGGTCGTGTACCACTGGGATCCCAAACATGGCTAGACCCACCCAAAAGGCCAAAATAGCTGTCAGCTCACTACAGTTGCTGTGCCCTTTGTTTTTGTTTCTGGAAAAGGATAAAGGTTGTACCATCTTGTCACTTGCCACCACAAATAAGCATAAATTATTCTTGAAACATAGGATTCTTTCTAATTCTTATGTGCATTGTTTTCTTCAGATGCTTTTTCACACTTACATTTTCCCCTTTTGTGCAGATACTGTTGCCATTTCTTCAAGGGTGGGAAGGAGGCAAAGGAAGAACGATATGGGGTGTTGAAGATGGAAACAGAATTTGGGGTCTCCCATAGCTCTTACAAAGACCAAAACCCTAGCCCTTCCCTTCTGGCCCTTCAGAAGTACAGCAGTCTGGAGGCAATCCCCAATCTCTCTCTCTTTCTCACTCCTGTCTATTGCCTTGGAATCAGGGAGAAACTAAGATAAATCTAGAGCAATGAGGATCTGGATAGCTCAAGGGAACCTAAGTTATACAAATAGCAACTGTCCAGGATCTGAACTTTGGCTGGAACCTCACTGCAGGGTCATCACTAAAGATAATGAAGCCTTTGTGTCTGTGCTGGGTATTGAATGCAGAACCTCCTGTGTGCTGATCTCCACTGCACTTCATCCTTAGTGTACAACAGAATTCTTTACAGACTCATTAACAAGTCCTCCCCATTGCCTAGTGTATCCATCCCAGCGACACTGCAAAGCTGAGAATAGGAACTGTAATGTAAGCTCCCAACAAACGAGTGGTCTCTCTCAGAAAATCCACCTGCAGATCAACATTTCTTCATTCCCAAGCCATCGTTCCACTGAGAATAAAAAGCAGCCTTGGAGCTCAGGACAATTGTTCCATTTTCACATGGGTCAGACTCCTTGTACTAACTCCCAAGCAATGGGAAGAAGCCAACCTTAATGTTCACGGCAATATATGTGACACACAGTGTGATACAAGACAAAGAATCCCAGTGCCTTAGTAGCTGACCATATTGTCCCTATGGTTGGGGACCTCAGTGCTTAATAGGAAGGGGAGGGGAGCAGGATCCATCTTTGTCTGCATAAGTCTATGTATACTCAGGCTGGCCCCATCATGGTACTGAAACACAAACAGAAAAGTGATGGGCTCTTATGTCACATGGTGGAGTCTTTGGCTCAAAGGCAAAACCTAGGGAGACAGGGGAGAGGGAAAGACAGAGAGAGAGACAGAGAGAGAGAAAGAAAGAGAGAGAGAGAGAGAGAGAGCACTCTAGGTGACTCTGATACAATGACAGATACACAGGACTTCTGTGCAGTTTGTTCCATGGGCTTGAACTTCATTATATGCAGACCTTTCTTTAAGAAAACTCGGTCCCACCACCAGGATTAACACAGGAAAGAAACAATGGAGCAGTTGTCCATACTACAAAAGGATTCTCCACTTTACAAAATGACTTGCAGGGGTAAAGGAGAAGGATTTGCTTTACAAAAATTTCATGTACAGCTTTTAGAGGGGGCACTCACGTTGCATTAAACCAACCTACCATGAGCAAACATGGGGCCTGCAGTTGTGTGACAGGAGCATACTTAAAGTTGGGCTGAGCAAATCTGCATGCTTATATCTCAAGCCAGGGTCTCACCTCTGACTGGACCCCTTGCCCTAGCAGCAGATTGCATCTTGGGTTGTATCATGGCCCAGAGTTTCCACCAACAACTGGTTAGGCAGAATCCCAAATAGAGTATTTACAGGACAGTCTGTACTCCATTTGGAAGTACAGACCATCAGCCAACAGACATCTTGCAACAGGAAGCTTCCCCGGGGAAAGCCTATGGGCTGCATTACTCCAGCACCAACATGCAATGCATCAACCACTATCATTTGCTCCCCTGCATGGACAGTGATGTGTAGGAGGTGAAATCCAATGCCCCAAACACTCTTGCTTTGTTTCACTCTAATGTCACTTTCTCTTTCTGAGCCTGCACATAGCCCAACAGAGCATGCTCCAAGCTGCTGACTCAGTCCTCACAGCTGCAGGATAGGAAGGCAAGTCTCAGTGGGGAGAAAGCAGAGCTCCGATTCCCCGGAGCAAGAAGGGCTGTTGGGTTTTCTGGCCCAGCTAGTTGAGAGCAGACTGTCTGTTCACTGGCCATCTTTTCCAACCAAGCCCTGAAGAAGGCACCTCGAGGCTTGACTCTCTGGAGTAGCTGGCAAGCTAGATGGATCAACTCGGACCTGGGTGAAGATGGGACTCAAGAAATGGGCAGCTCTTGGGTACCTATATATTTGAACAGAAGCTGCCACAAAAGCCACCCCAGCCAGCTCGGGATGGGCTAAAGGCAAGGCAGAGGCTGCTGGATGCCTCAGGTAATGGGTGACAACCCCAGATCTTGTCCAAAACAAGGCTCACAAACTCTAGACCAAAAATGGTGACACTTGAGCCACTAACTGAGAAGTCTTGGGAGTTGGGAAAGGAAGAAGACTGTGCCATCTTCAGATAAAGTACCTACTACTTCACTCCATTTTCCTTTTCTGTTTCCAGGTAGGAAACAGAAACACCAGCCCAGGGTTCCTTGGGACTTCCCAAAGTTCAGACTATAAGGGAAGCTCATCAAATCCATTGCCCTGCTTCTCTTCCTACCTGCCCCGAAGCCCAGCAACCCAGGGGCCTATGGGCCCCTACCTGCTGGCCCTGGGCAGCCCCAAACGCATCACCGGGGGCCAGCCCCATCAGTGGCAGGCAGCAGGGCAGGGTGGAGGCTGCGGGCAGTGTGCTTGGGCGTTGGCTCCTCTGTGTAACTGTCCGGACTGGCTGCTCCATCCAGAGAGCTACCACAGCTGGAGTTGGGGGAAAGCACGTCCTGTAGAAGGTCTTCAGGGGGCATGCCACCTCCTGCCCCACCCCCACCAGCTCCCACCACAGGGTCCTTGCCAGGCTTGGCACGCTGGGTGCCTTCCTCCTCCTGGTCATTGAGCAACTTGGCCAGGAAATTTATGTACTTCATGGCGAGGCGAAGGATCTCATTCTTGCTTAGCTTCTTGTCTGGTGGGTGGGTGGGGATCAGCTTTCGAAGCTCAGCAAATGCCCCATTCACATTCTGCTGCCGCCATCGCTCTCGGCTGTTGGTGAAGATTCGCCGCACCACTTTGGTGTGAGGACCTGAAGGTGGAAGGAATGTGTCAAAAGCAGGTAGAGACCTTCAAAGGGCTCTTCTACTGAGACACTCAAGACCCAAAAGCACCTAGGCATGAAGTAAGGAGGAGTAAGACAAGCAGGGCCTCCACCCTTGTGGTGTTCACATTTTAATGAAGATGGGAGAAGGACAAGGAACAAACAACACAACAAAAGAGCAGACTGACAAGTAAAAGGTGTAAAGAAGCTACTGTACTTAGTTAAGGTGGCTAGCAAAGCATTTATTAAAAACAAAACAAAACTTCAGGTTGAAGCAAAGTCATCCAGACACAGGAACGGAAGAAGAATCCCTGAGCAGACAGAGTGACACATGCAAAGACACTGGGGTAGAAATATGACTGGTGCATGCCTGGCTGGAGTAGTAGGCATAAGAGAAGAGGGTTCATATCTCATAAGTCCCTATAGTAAGAAAGGCATAAATTCAGTTCCAAGTGTAACAGCACAGAGTGCGAGCATGGCATATATTTCCTAAGTGGACTTTCACAGAGGCGGGTAGGAGAATAGAGGGGAGGATGAAGAGCAGAAGGGAAAGGAAAGACTTCAAGGTCCCCAACCCCAGGAAAGGAGTAGAAGACAACCAAGCACAGCCATGGTTCTTAGGACTGCCTCAGGACCCAATAATCATTACCACACTGATGCTAGGACTGCCGGATAGCAGCCCATACCAATGCACTTGTGTGCAACACCTAAGGTGTGCAGGGCACTGTGTCAAGTATTCAAGCATGACCTGGAATTCTCAGGGCAGGGAAAACACAAGAGGTCCCCCCTCCCCTGTGTGGTAGCAGTCTTCCCTGCTACCACAAAGCCATAGGCCCTGTGGACCTTTAAGTAGTTTGGTGTACAGAAGGGGCAGCCCAGCCTGAGGGTCCTACTTATCCTCTTCCAGTAACCACTAGGTCCAGGGCTCAGATTAGAAACTTGGGGAGGGGGGAAGTAAGGGACAAGAACATCTGAATCCACTGGTTACTTTATGGCTAGGTGTGGAGGCAGTGTTCAGTCTGGGACTTACTTGACCAAGTAGATGCCTACTTCTAGATGGTCCCTTTTTTCTCATTTGCATGTGCCTATATCCACACTCTGTGTTTTCCCCAAGAAGTTTCCTCAGCCCTTGCCTTACTTACAGTTCCCAGAAGCTTTTTAAGGGTTAGAAACAGACCAGAGAAAAGACCACAAACCTGGAAGGCAGACCTGCACTGAACTGTCTCAGAAAAGCAATGTGATGCCCTCAGACCTCTAGACCAAAGAGGGGGGTCTCTCAGCTGTGACATAGGTCCAACCCTTTGCATCATGGCTAATTTCATGAGCTAGTGGAAGCTCCTAGGTGAACAGGGGGTATTATAACTGTCATCACAGTGAGAGCCAGCTCTCCTCCAGCCTCAACACACTTCCAGCAGGGGCCCCAGACAGACAGCAGCACTGGTTTGAGTCCCTTAGCCTGCTGAGAAACCACTTTTCTGCCCTGGTACCATCAGGTCAACATTGGGAGGAGTGGGCAGAGCTCCAAATCTTCATTCATCTAAGCCAAAGAGTGCTGAGTTCTCCTGGTTGTACATATTCCATGGCACAATAAACCATTCTTGGTCTCAGTCCAGAATGTAGAAGAGGGACAGAGGGGTCCCACAATAGACAGAACTGACAAGAAACTCTTAAAAGGCACAGCTCCAGCCAGGGATCCCAAAGTGGATTGCAATTCAGGGTCTTCCTGCAGGTTAGGAATTGGAGTTGAGGAACCTGGAGTGTTTCTACCCACCCTGGATCCTTGTCAAAGTATAGGGACCAAGCTTAGAGTAGAAACTACATGTAGCTGACAGTACAGATTTGATTTAAGTGCCAGTCCAACTCAGCTCCAGGGTACAGAGTTCTAGCAATTTGGGATTCTGGGGTGGCCTTCTCACCTCCGTGAGATATCTGCATTGTCCCCATGCTCCCCATTGCAGATGGCTCTAACCAGGGTAAGGGATGAGTACAGACTCACCATCAGTAATCTCCATCTCATATGGGGAGGGCCTCCTCTTCACCCGGTTGTTGTTGGTAAACATGGGGAAGGCATCTGGCTCCCCGAAGAACCCACTGGGGAAAAAGCAGGTGGATGACAAGGAGGTTGAAGACAAAAAGGCTTCTTAGATGTATTTTCCCTAAATGTCTTGAGTTACCCTCCCCCTAAGGCAACTCTGCTCCCTGCACACTTTACGCACATACACAGAAGAAGTGAAGCAGCAGGTGAGCATACAGAACAAAACATGAATGTGTGTGTGTGTGCTCGAGCGCGAGCACACACACCCACACGCGTGCACACACACACCCACACCACAAACACACACTTGCCTCATCCTCCCCCATCCCACGCTCCCTCGGTGCCCAAAGTCATCCAATCCTGTCAGACACCTTTGCTCAGAGACAAGTACCTACACCGGAGGTCACAGGCGGAGTGATGACAGGCAACTCTAATACCACACAGATCTCAGTGTCTCCTGCAGCCACCTTCCCTCCATCATCATTCCCTCATCCCTTCTGGAGGGAACACAGATTCAAAGATGGCTCAGTAGCTCGCCACAGCGCTCCCCTGCGGCTCTGCCATCACATCTTCTCCTAGAATTTCTTCCCTCTGCCCACCTCTCATCTGCCCTCACCACGGGGGGGCCCAGCAAGGAAGCCAGTGTTCTCACACCAGCTATACCCGGGTGGCCCCAACATCCGCAGGTAAGGGGAAGAAGGGCTAGGCGCGGATGAAGGTGTTGCTCACCGCATCCTAGCAGAGGTTGAGAAGAGAGGTTTCGCTGCAGCGTCCAGAAGTCGCCCTTTGCAGCAAAGATCACCTCTGCAACAGAGGCGCATTGACACACTGGCCTGGAACTCATACTCGATATAAGAATCCCTCCTGCCTAACACGGTTCTTAGTAACCTCCGCTGCTTCTCACACCCACCCACACGCCTGCACCCTTAAATAAGCAGGCGGGCACCAGGGTTTTCGACAGAAACTGTGTGCTCCCTAAGTCTCTTTGGTCCTGCCTGCCAGTCTGTCTCACTGAGGCCCCCTTTCCCACTAGTGCAAGGGGTTGAGGAACTCTAGCCACTACTCCCTTTCGCCCTTTCATCCTGAGTCTTTAGCCACCTCCTTTCTCCTTGAGCCCATCAAGGACCCATAACGCAGCAAGGGACCAGGGCTCTCACCTGCCTAGAGAGGCCAGTGGCTGGCTGAGGCTGTAGAGCAGCGCTCGGCCAGGGCCACCGGGGGCTGCCAGCGCGGGTGGGCTCAGCTGCACCATGCGGCCGTCTGCAGGCAGTTCTGGGGGAGCCGAGGCGGGAGCGGGAGCTGGGGCGGGTCCGGGAGGTCTGCACAGCTCGGTGGTGGGCACTCGATGGCGAGCTTCTGCTGCCACCGCGTCGCGGCTCTTTAAATCCCTTACGGCACCGCCCCCACTGGCGGGGCCGCCCCCCGCGCCGCTACGCGCGCCTAGCTCGATGACTGGGGGCTCCGCAGGGGCTGCGCGGCTCGTCTCCTTGGCGACGCCGTTGAGCAGGACTAGGTGCGGGGGGGCCATGCGGGCCTCGGCCGCGTCCTGTCCCTCTAGCTGCGGGTCACTGCGGGCCGCCTCGCTCGGCGGCCGCTCCGTCATCCTGTAACAGGATAAGGGACAGAGAGGCGATCACTCACTGAGATGTGAAAAGCAGACAAATTCAGCGCCACGTGGACACACACCCCTACCCGGGCGTGTGAAGGGCCTGCGGGCCTGGGGCTGGAGCGAGGTGGTGGTGTCTCTAGATTAGAAGAGGGAAGTGTTGGGAGAGCCCGGGGGTGGGGGTGGGGAGTGGGGGCACAGGGTCCAAGGGTAAGAACAACTGGAGAAAGACAGCAGAAACATTGGAAGAAAAGGAATACAACCAGCGAAACAAAATCTAGGGGAAAAGGAGGAAGGAAATGCACGGAGAAGAGAAAGACAGATCACCCAGTCCCTCTTTAGGCCACAGGGGAAGGGGAGGGAACAAATCCCCTGAGCAAGCAAGCATATCCTTCCCGCCCCCCTTTTGGTTTTGGCGGGGAATCTCTCCCGCCTGAGCAAGGTGCTTTAGGAACCTTTCCCGATTTACCGCCACACACATGCACCACACATAAATACACCCAAAAACATTATGGTAGTGGAATAGGGTGTGTAGGCTTCAAGAACTGAGCTCTGTTCTGCTACACCTCAGAAGTATTCCAGAAAAGCCAGCCACCTTCCCCCCAATACTCTCCCTGCCAAGAGGGAGGGTGTCTACTAAGCAAACTCACACTGTATTCTGCACACAACTACCTTACCATGAGAAAAGAAGTCAAGGAAAGGAGCTGATCCTGGATTCTGGCCCTACTCTCCTGCACACTCCACCCCATTCTGCTCAGCTGGACTAAAAAATGAGCATAGGTCTGGGTGGGAAACCTGATTGAGACACCAGGGACCCAGACACTGGAAAGTACTCTTGAAGCCAGTAGAATCTGGGCTCCTCTCCTGATGAAGGAGAAAAATACCAAGAAGGCCCTTGAATTCTTCTAATGAAGCACTACAGGCAGTAGTGTTGTCTATAACATAAAACTCAGATCTCACTGTACATTGCCTTGTCATATAGATCCTGGAGGCCAGAAGCTTAAACCATACCTCCATGATGAGCACAGACACTCTATTTCCCAACAGTGTGAGGGATCTTGCATCACCTAGCTTTATTCAGATGGCACCTGGCCCAGCAACAGGCCAGACTGTTGCTGTAAGACTCCAGGATCCAAAGTTGGAGGGTACTTGTGAGTTGCTCTAATTTTAAAAATAAAAATGCAACGAAATCACCAAGTATGGTGACACATGCTTTTAGCCCCAGGCTGAGAAGCACACTAAAGAATCCACAAGTTGAGGTTAACCTAGGCTATACATGACCCCATATCCCTAATATGTACATTTATGGATATATATGCATATATACATATACAGACACTACTTTGGCAAGATTTATAAATTGTTCAAACTAAGATTTCTGCTCCCAGAATTAAATAATTGGCTACTTTATTTTGTTTTAATTTTTGTTACATTTACTTATTTGTGTATGAGGCTGCACATGCCACAGCCACTAATTTAAAACTCAAGAGGGCAATTTTCAAGAGCCTGTTCTCTCCTTTCACTGAGTGAGTCCTGGAGATCACAAATTGTTTGGCTTGACAGCTATGCCCTAACCCACTGAATCATCTTACTGGCCCAAACTGGGGTATTTTAAGACAGAAATACAAAAATATTCAAGTCAGTTCCATACAAGAATCCATCTAATCACTGGTGGCAGACATGGAGCTCCCATTTGACCACCACAATGTCCTGAACTAGAGTTATCATGGGAACTCATGCTTCCTATTAAGGAAAGGAAATTGAACCTTCTTCAACCTCCTGCAAAACTCAAGCAACTGCAATTCAGGCTATACAAGCTATTCTGGTTTAGTCCAGTCTGGAAACAACAAAATTCCCCAAGTCTTGTCACACACAAGTTGCAAAGCCAGTATGGCCCTGTGATGCTTCACTGAAATTGAGTTCACAATTATAGTGGAGACAAAAGGTCTATATACAGAGAATACCACAACCACCGGAAATGAACCAGAAGTATAGTAGCCACCCTGGCTTCCCTCCCTACTGGTGAAGTGCACCAGAAATAAACCAGCCCCTGGTGAAATATATAAGCCAGAGGTGCCTAGCTCACTGCTACCACCATCTGTGTGCTTTTAATGACCATACTTTAGTCCTTGCTTCTAAGGACAAACATTATGCACTGTACTGAGCCCCAGCTTCCCTCTGGCACAGTTATACTCCCTGAATAATTCTGCAGCAGTGATAGAAGCTGCTTCCCAAGGGCCAAAGGGAACACATAGTCCAGATGAGTTGACCCTGGCCCCCAATGCCTCATCAGTTTCCAGTAGAAGGATCCATGCTCAGCTCTGGAACCTTAAGTAAACCTAGCCCACTTCTACGACCAGGATCACCCCCAACAGCCCCAAGTTAAACCCAAATGGCTTTTATGCACTTGTTTTTATTAAGGGAGGATGGAAATGGAGGAGGCTCAGGACTAGACCAACACTAGACTGCAGCATTCGACCATTTCAGCTCTTTGTACTACAGAGACCAGGCTGCAGCCTCAACCCTGATCTTCACCTCCCAGTCGCCCCAATTCCAGCCAGCATGTGACAATGAATGCCTGAACAAGGGAAAGGGACAGCACCTTTTTGGCACCCACACTGCATCTTCTCCAGCAATTTGTAATACCCCAAATCCTAGCTCGGGATTTTTTATTTCCTTTTTTTAAAGAAATAGCCATCTCCTTGGACTTGGCCTCCCATCCCTCCATTGGCAGGCATACGCTAGACACCATGGTGAAACACAAAGCCTGCACTGCAACCAAACATGCCAGTGATCAACGCACTATCTCTGCTACCACGAAAGTGGAGATGTGTTCCGCACAGCTTCCTAGGCCTCAGTCAGGCCTTAGCCAGGATGGCCTTGGCCTTTTTCCTGCCTGAGCTCCAAGCACAGCCTGAGCCACCCGGATGTAGCCACAACAAAGTTACGGGTCTTGTGAAAATGTGCACGGAACCGGGACCATGGGAGCGGCCTGGAGGACATAATCCAACCAGCTGGTTTTATCCGAGGCCGGAAAAAGGAAAGGGCCCTGCTGGAGACCTGAGGCAGCTAGTGGCAGTCAGATCCCGGGTTCTTAGCTTAGGTTGTCACCCCCCCCCACACACACACACACACACCCTGCTGCCGCCAATCTTCTCAGTTCTGAGCCTCCCCCATCCCAGTCTGCAACCCTGAACACTGTTTCCACAGACATTATTACCCCCTCCACAAGACAGTGGCCCGAAACTCACCTGGGGCATATTTAGAGAGACTGGCCCTTCTGGTTAGGACCTCCACTCCTAGGCTGGAGAGGGGTCGAGGTAGGAACCCGGATCTGTGTTTTCCCGGCTCTTGTTCAGAGGCCAGCAGTCACTTAGCTAGCGGTGAGGTCCTGGGCGGTCTGCCGCGCCCAGAGAGAGTTTCCAGGAAAGATGGGGGTGGAGAGAAGGAGGGAGGGCGAGAGAGAAAATGGGGGTTCAATAGTTGGGAATTACCTCGTGTGCCCCGCCAGCCCGAAGAATAGCAAATGTCTTTCCGCCTCCAACTTGCAGGTGTTTGGAGCCCCCATCCCCCAAACACGTCCCGATTTAAAAAAAAAAAAAAAAAAAAATGAACCCTACACCTGACCAATCAGGAATAGCTACTTAGTCCAACAACAACAGCCTCTCCCGGCAGGCTGCCCAGAACATTTTCGAACCCTCTAACGGATCTGTCTGATTCAGAATGGCCGAATATGTTTTCTAAGCATGGATTCCGCTAGGCTATGCAGCTTGCTCGACAACCTGTACCCGGCTTCGGCTATCGCCACATCGCGAAGGTGTAATTCCCTTTCTGAAGCGGGTAGAGAGGACATGTTGGAGAAAAGACTCTTCGGGCCCTGGTCACCCACCGGGTCAGAACCTGGGAGCCCCCAGCCATTCTCTTCATGACCCCCATCTGCCAACCTTCTGTTCAGAACGAAGGCAGAACCCGCTTCCAAAAACCCTATTTCCCCTCTTAGGGTTGGAGGGGAGAGGTTTTTATCTATTATAGTTGGGCCTCCCTTGTTTTCTTCCTACTGGGGAGGGGGATGATATAAAGGAAGGGATTTCTACACCGTTTCCTCCACCACCTTTACAAAACGATTTTCGATTTTCTTCGGGGTTTTGATTGGCAGAAGGTGGGAATAACGCTTATGATGTTTTGTAGCGATAATCAAGGCAGTAGGGAAGCGGGTCAAAAGAAACCCGACTCTGCTTCTAAGTGAAGATTTGGTTTGCTTTTATCTCCCACCCCCGCAGGTTTTTAAATTTATTTAGCCTAAGTCTTCCACCTTCCAATGGCACATCGAAGACTTGGCTTAATCGTGAAGGCTCCTTCTCTCTTCTGTGGCTTTGGCGGAAGTGCAAGGCTACCTCCTCCCTGGGTATCAGTTAGGTGCGGGAGGTTTTCTTTCTCCTTTCTAATCCAAAGGAAGGAGGGAGGGGAAAGCGGGGAGTACCCCATTCCCGGTGTTACTTGAGGTTAATGTTTGCTTTATGGCTGAATCTCCATCCCAAGTACCTCTCCATTTTCTTTTCCTACCCCAAACATGACAACTTGGAAAACAGAGATAGGGAGGGGCGACGACGGGGCTGCTTTGTTCATCCTCCAAAGCAGCTGAGGGGACGAGCTGGCAAGCTTTTTGTTCAATTGTTTTAATTAGAAGGGGGTGTTAATGGTGATGGTGGTGATGACGAAGGTATTATCACAGTAAAGAGGAAAACGCAATCCTTTCTTGTCCAGCTAGGACTGCACTACGCGGTCCCTCCAACGAAAGCGGATTCTGAGGGCAGCCGTCTGTATGCCACGGATCTGACCCTTCCAGGATGGGGCAAGGACTGAGAAAATATCCCCCAAGGTGATCCCGAGGACCCCCCACCCGTGGCACCAGACCTGGAAAGTACACCCATTGTCCTTCCCGGCCTCTCCCCCAACCGCCACGGAAGCACCCTCGAAACTGACCAGAAATGGACGAAACCTGGGAGCTGCGGACGGGAAGACGCTGGACTCGGCGAGCTATGTTCAGATTCCAGAGTGCAAAACCGCCCCCCTCCCCTCAAACAGCGAACCTCCCCAACATGAAGGCACAGTCTGCCTTCTGCCCGAGCTGCTGCTCACTGGGCTCTGTACTCCCACCTGAGCCAACACTGGCTTCCGAATACATCATAATTTGGAATAAAATGTGAAATCCCGCTCCCCGCCCCCATGCCGACGCCCCCACCAGCGCCGCGATCTCTCGCACGCCCTCCCCCCCATTCCCGCCCCCAGCGATCTGCAAACGCACCTCTAAAGGACACAGGCACACAGGCACAGGACTCTCCGTGGACAGGACCGCACATGGTCCAGCCCCAGAGTTGGAAAGCAGATGAACATAAACCAGCTCTGTCCCACAAGCCGGTACCAGGCAGACCGGCACACTGTCCAACAAGACCCAGCGACATCAGTCCCACGCAATCGCTCACAGACATACAACCTCATAGGGTGGAGATCACACCCGCCCGGCATAACCAAGCCAGCCGAACACTTTGTCCAAGGCCACACACTGCGACACAAGGACCGACCTTGTTGAGAAAAGAAACGGGGTAATTTACATACAACGAATAAAAAGCAGAAGGGCCAGGAGGGTCGAAGTCCCCACACCTAAACAGTACAGGCTTCTCACTCCCACACACGACCTGTCGCCAAAAGCCCGGGCGGGGAGCAGCCACCGCGGCCTGCGGCTCACACACACACTCTCAACCCGGCCGCCCGCACACACAGCCCAGAAGCAATGGAAGCCACCAGCGCCTTGCACTTTTCTGTCTGTTGCGCAAGGGGAAAGGGGGAAGGAAGGAAGAGAGTCTCCCCCGGCGGGAGGGGCGGCGTGGAAAGTGCCCCCCGGGAAGAGCCAGGGGAGAGGGAGCCCAGGCTTCGGCGCGCACGGGAAAGAACTGTAGAAACCCATGGGCAATTCTGCGGGAGGCGGCTGTCGCCTGTCCCCGGGAAAAAGGAAGGGATGCTCTCGTTTTTGCGCCCTGGGGTGCGCGCTTGGCCGTGTTGGGCCGCCCCCTCCCGCTCCCAGCCGCGCGCTCTAATCCGGCTCCCGCCCGCAGCTTCGTTAGCACGGGCCGTGTGCGCCGCCGAGATAAGGCGCCGCCGCGGGCCCGCCCGCCCCCGATAAGCGCCTTGGCCATTATGGGCCAAATGATTCATTTTAATTTGGCAATTTCTCTGGAGGCAGCGGGGAACGGGTTGCGGCGCTGGGCTGGCCTAGGAATGCGCAGCGGAGAGGGCTGAGCGTGCACTCTGGGACTTGGTGGGTCCAGCCCCACTTCCCACCCCGGCCTCTCGGGATTCCCACTCCTCCACAAACAACCGCACTCGGTTCTCCGCCTTCCAGATGCTCCTTTGGCGGAAGCTTTAGCCTCTTAAGGCCACCGTGACTCCTGAGCCATCACCTCCAACCTTTGCTTCTTCATTCATTTTTTGGTGTCTTCAAAACCAAACAGCCACCGCCTTTTCTCTTGACACTCTTATTCCCATACCCGACCACCAGTTCCTCGCTAATAGTCAGCCTTGGCCCCTGACCACTCTAAACTGGAGTTGCTCAAATTCAAGGGGCTCTATGGGCGAACAGAAGAGATACCAATAGAAAGTCTAAACATTTGGTTTCAGGATGAAACAGAACCCACTGAACTACCCCCCTCAACCCCCCTCCCCCGCTGCCCCGTTGCTTAACACATATTTTAATCTTAGTACTGAAGCATTGTTTCAAACATTCTACAGATACTATTTACTTTTTATTAAACATCCATAAGGACAGGAAATACATCGGAGGTTGAGGTCTTGCCTATCCTGTGCAAGGCCAATGATTCGATTCCCAGCGCTGCAAAAATAAAAAATAATCAAGTACATAAATTAGTGAACTCTAAATTGCCTCTTTTCTTTTTCTTTTGGTTTTGGTTTTATGAAATAGTGTTATTCTGTGTAGACCTGGCTGTCCTGGAATTCATTCTGTAGACCAGGCTGTCTTCCAACTCAGGGATCCACCTGCCTCTGCCTCCAAAGTGCTGGGATTAAAGGTGTGCACCACCGGTGCCTGGCTTTCATTTTTTTAATTAGCATACTATTAGATATTAGCATGACACCTCTGAGCTAGCTCAAATTTTAAATTGGTGCTTTTATTATTCCCAATTTATAAGTGAGGGTACTGAGTTGGGGGAGCTGGTGGCAGTATCTCGATGTTAAATTTCTAGTGAGTGTCAGAAAGAAGGAAGCCTGATTTAAAGGGAGTTTGGCACTAAAGCCAATATGCTCAGCTCATTGTAGGACCCCAATGGGCTTTGAAGAGTACCTGGACTAATCTTTTCATAATGGTGGAAACTGGCTGCTGGAATCCTAGTACACCAGAGGTAAAGACAAAAGAATCTGAAGTTAAAGGTTGTTTTCAACAATTTATGGACAGTATGGGCTACATGAGACCCTGCCTCAAAAAATAAGAGAGACTAATGCAGGCTGTGGTGGTGTATAGTTTTAATCCCAGCAGTTGGGAGGCAGAGGCAAGTGAGTGAGTGTAGATGATTTCAAGGATAGCTAAGCCTACATTTAGAGTTCTAGATCAGCTGCAGCTACATAGTGAGACCCTGCCTTGAAGAGGTGGAGGTGAAAGAAAGGAAAACAAGCAGCATTTAGGGAGGATGAAAGTGAAACACTATCTTCTGGTCCCAATAGGACCACTGCATTGATGATCTCCCAGCTTGGTTGCCTGCTCAAGATCAAGCCAGATGCTAGAGTGGACAGGCAAGGGGCTCAGGAGGCCCCACCCCTAACCGAAGAGCTATTGATAGCAGATGACTTCTGGAAGTGGGGAGTCAATTTTTAAGAGTGTGGCCCCTAGTACATACACCATCCTCTTGTGGATAGCTCCACACCCATGACTTAATGGGAATCATAAGTTGGTCTCTGATTTTTTTTATAGAAAAATTATGTGTTGTAGTGTTTTGCCTGTATGAATGTCTGTGTACTGTGTCCAGAGGCTTCCCTAGAACAGGACTGAGCCCAACATGTAGGCACTGGGAATCAAATCCAGGCCCTCTGGAAGGGCAGCCAATGCTCTTGACCAAGGAACCATCTCTCTAATCTGTGAGTGAGGTTTTAAGAAAAAGACACTAGGATGGGAGGAGGTAGAGGAGTAGTGGAGGGGTATTAATATGACCAAAATATATTTTCTGAAATTCTCAAAGAATAAAAGGCCACATCTTTAACCTCAGCATTCACAGAGGTAGGCGGATCTCTGGACAGCCAAAACTACATAGGGAGACCCTTTCTCAAATAAACCTAAGCAAAACCAGGTGGTGGTGGCAGAGGGCAGGCAAATCTCTGAGAATTTACAGCCAGTCTGGTCTATAGAGAAAGTACCAGGATGCTAAAGCTACACAGAAAAACCCTGTCTCCATGGGAGGTAGACGGAAGCCTAACAGAATAAATAATAAAAATGTATTTTTGAAATTACAGTTATACATATATGTGATATATATCATAACAAAAATAATTTTAAAAGCCGGTGGTTGGGATCATATGCATTCATCTGGTTGTCATAAAGAAATTAAGGACATTAAAGGAAATTAAGGGGCAGAGAGATGTGACTTGATCAAACTTACAGCTAGTGAAAAGTCAACATCTATTGTCCAATTTCCAATCCACAGCTCCACTCAGCATACCAGACTGCATTGACCTTCCAGTAGCTTTGAATGCTAAAGTCCCTTGTCTAGTCATAGACTGAGACCCAGTCAAGGGCCCATCCCAGGTGTGGCCCCTGTCTGAATTCTGTCCCTCCTAGATTTCAAGACCACTATATGGTTTAGTTCAGTATGCCTGACTGTGCTGCCTGTTCCTGCGTCCTGTGATGAAAGCAGCTGCTATGTATGTACAGGCAGCTTCCATGGAATCTCCTAGTAAGGCCCGTGTCCTGAGAAAAATATCCATTTCTTCCTGGCCGCTACCCACAAAACCCTTCCTTGTCTTTACCTCACTGCTTGTTTAGAAAGAGTGAAAGGATTGTGGCTATGAGATTGAACCCATTCAGCCTGTGCTATGGAGCAAGTCACTCAACAGCTCCTAACCCAGTGGTCCTCAACTTGTGGGGTTACCTAAGACCATCAGGAAACACAGATATTTACATTGCAATTCATAACAGTAGCAACATTTCAATTATGAAGTAACAACGAAAAGAATGTTAGGGTTGGGAGCCAACACAACATGAGGAACTGTATTAAATGGTCGCAGCATTAGTAAGGTTGAGAACCATTGTCCTAATCCCTGCACAAAGAGGACATCTATTCCTGTACTGAATGTGAGTTTAGATGGGTATGTTTCCCAAGAAAAAGAAAGCCAGGCCTGGACCAAAGGCTGAAGCCGGAAAGTTCATGTAAGAAACGGTATAGTATGAGTGGAGGATCTGAAGGTTTTGTTTTTACTGCTTTGTTTGTTTACATAAGGGCTTGGTGTCCTCTGTAAGACCAGATTTTCATTTTTAGGAAACCCTTGTGTTGAAAAGGCTGCCGTGGTTGTGGGAGGTGGGGGGAGTGAAGGCTGGGTGTTTTGGGGCCAATACAGAGACCAGGGAAGGGAGTAAAGCTCTTCTAATCTTTCTTAGGGGAAGGGAGTGGAAGAGAGAGTGTGAGTGTGGGTGTTTTGTACATAATGTGTAAGACCTAGTTTGGAAGAACTATGTTGGAGAGTAAAGTAAAACGAAAAATCTAGACAACCTTGGGTTTCTGGATGTCTGGAGCAGTTTGGTTACTTCAGGAGATGGGGTAGGGCGGGAATGTCTAGAGGCCTAGGGACTTGGAAAAGTTATGTATTTTGTCTTGAACTCGATGACCGATGACCACTGGATCCTTTTCCAGGGTGTGAAATGGCCTTCTCCAGTGTGGATTAAGGAATAAGGTTGGATGGAAGGTGCAGATGCAGCGTCTGCCCATTCTAACACACGGACCTCTCAGCAGCCTTGTTCCTTCTGTGCCCGGGACCCCAGCCTGAGGCTGGGGGCTCGTGACGTGTACAGGCTCCGCGTTCCTTG